TGGATTTACCTCGAACTGTCCCTCGTGTCGCGAAACTTTCAATATGGGTAAGCCACCCAAAGCAAATCCTATCGCGTACTCACTCTGTGCCCCTTAGTCCGCCCAGAGTTTGCTGGCTCCCTCTTCACCACACGTCGCAGTGCACTTACCATGCCACTCCTCTAGCTAACCTGTCTCCCGAAGAAATTCCACCAGTACATCGTGCCGAGCATTCGACGCGTGTACATCGACATGTCGCGGCACGATGGGCTGCGCAAAAAGCTCTCTGTCTCCGAGGCCCGAGTCAGGGCCCTCGAGAAGGACAAGGAGCGCCTCATGGCCGAGTGCGAGCGGCACATTGCCGCCGCAGACGCGCATGGCCGGGGCGAGACGGACGCGCTCCGCAAGGCGAAGGCCTTCGAGGATGAGCTCGAACTGACGCGGGAGACTGCGGCCCTAGACGCGCACGACGCACAGGAGGCCTTGTGCGCGATGAAAATCAAATACGACAAAATGAAGCGGCTTTGTCGTTCTTATACAGCAGCCTCGTGCGTACCCAACCTCCCAAAAATAAAAAGCCTGTATTCTTACTCCACTCTACAGTCGCGGGCAGGGCGAGGAGAACACGAGCTCCCTTTGTTCGCTGGGAAACGGAACAGCTCGCTCGTTGACATCTCTCTCGACGAACCAGTGTCGCCCAAACGACTGCGAGTTATACGTCCCCTGCCCCGATCTCGCCAAAATCTACACACTCCCGTGAACCAATTGCGCTCCCAGCTGTATGGGCAGGGAGCCCAGTGCGGGCTGGGCTCGCCCTTCCACAGTGGCTGAATCCATCTTCAGTCTCCGTCCACGAATGTACATCTAGATCTATTTGTAGATATTAATCTTACAACAATATTATGTGCGCCCACCCGCGGGCATAGTCCTCATGCAGCAGCGTCGAGAACACCGGTCAGCGTCTCCGTCTTCTCCACCAGGAGGCTTCTCTGTTTTTCGCGCGCAGCCTCAATCTTCGCCAAGTGGTATTTGCGCGCCGACTCCAAGAAGTGCTCCGGCGTCAGCCCGGGGCCGGGCATCTTTTTGAATACACCGTGCTGTTCCTTCCGGTCGACGTACGCGCCGCGCGCGACGTAGGGTTTTAGCTGCCGTGCTAGGATAAATATTTTTATTGATTTGAGTGGTGAGTGTGCGCACCGGACAAGCAAGGATGTCGTCGATGGGCGGGGCGACGAACACGCGGACTCTGGACTCGAGGAGTTGGTAGCCCGGCCGTTTGTTGATGTGGACACCAGGCGCCCAGTACGGTGCCCCGGGAGGGCGGCCTGCCGGTTACCTGTTCTCATTCAGCAGAATGGATGAGGGAAAAAAGAAAACACGGACCCTTGTAAAAATCCTTGTTCGCGCGGAAGGACTGCAGAGGCCTGCGGGCCTTGAAGCGACATCGCGCAGCGGTCGGGAACATGGACGAAGACGAAGAGCAGATGTCACGCACTGTCACATCTTTGACTTGAACCGCCATGGGCAAGAAAAATTCAGCATCGCCGGGGACGTCCAGCAGGGGCAAGCGCGGGCGTGGAGGACGTGGTGGATCCCGCGCGACGCCTCATAAAGGTCGAGAAAGAACACGGCGGGCGATGCACGGCCTGAGAGCGCTGTGGATGAAGTCAGCGATGAGGAAGGGGATGGTAGCGGTTCAGAAGAGGGTCAGTTATTTCTATCTTTTGGTTTCCTTTCTTTATTCCTTTGCTGCAGAGGGGAACGAGGACATTAAAATTGAAGTCCCCGTCGCAATGTGGGCAAGTAATTCCATTTTTTGAAAACGTTCTACGCAATAACCGAACTCTCTCCAGGACTTTGACCACTGTGATCCCCGTCGATGCTCGGGGAAGAAGCTCTCGCGTCTAGGATTAATCAAAGAGCTCAAAGTCGGCTCTCGCTTCAGAGGCATCGTCGTCTCGTGAGCATTCTGTCCGTATCTTCCCCTGCATTTCACTCTCCCATTATCACGCGTCTTTCTCACCCCTCTTTCGAACACAGACCTAAAGGCAAACAAGTCATCAGTCCCTCCGACCGCGACATCATCCTCAAAGGTGGGCTGGCTGTCGTCGAATGCTCCTGGGCGCGCCTCGACGACGTCCCGTTTGGCAAGATCGCGAGCCCGCATGAGCGCTTGCGTGCGTCGTTCTCCATCTTTCAACTATCATTCAATTTTCATGCCGTCTTTTCGCAGTCCCGTACCTCCTCGCGACGAATCCGACGAACTACGGCAACCATGGCGCCTGAACTGCGTCGAGGCGCTGCGGCCGCGTTCTACATCACCGGCTTCGACGCGTACGCGGACAAGCTACTCAGCGGGTTCGGGTGGGGCGGCTCGTTTTGGAAGGTTAATCGGTGTGTTACGTCGCATTCGACATTTTCTCTGGGCAAGGAGTTTCGCGAAACTGACGGCTGCATGCAGGACGTTCCTGGAGCGGTATAAGGAGTGCAACACCGCTGAGGAGATGAGCGCCATGCAGGAGCGCATCATGGACGACCTCGAGAAGAGCTGGGAGGATTCACGACGGGATAAAGGCGAGCAAGCTGTTCCTTACTCTTCTGCTTTCTTATAGCGTATTTATCTCTGATGATAGACCGCGGTCCCGGTGAAGAGGAAGACCTACTCGTCGCGAACCCGAACCACCGTCGCGATTCTGATGAGAGCGAGGACGAGGACGCCGATGAACCCGAGCCGAGCGACGAGGATGCACGACCGCAAGAGCCTGAGGACGACGTGGAAAAGCTGTCTCGTAATATCCACACGTTAGCTGTAGTTCCAGACTAGAGTAAGTCCTATCCTGCTATCGTACCACATCTATTTGTCCACAGTAATGCTGGTAGACAATATCATTCCCATTCCATCAAACGCGTACAAATTTTCATTGACAAGGGATCTACTTTGATCCTCGGATGATCTCCATTGTTGCGGGCAACGCGGTGAATGCCTGTACGCATATAGAGAGGCTCCACACATATGGTCATCAGACCGAACGTACCACCCACCCTTCTCTCTCTAACTTCTACGTCGCAGTTTCCGATTACACATCATGGCTGTCATCTCGACACCAATAACTTCGCTCTTTGGCATTAAGCACCCCGTCTACTTGCGGGCATGGACACCGCTGCGGGGCCAGAGCTGGCGGCGGCGGTGAGTAATGCAGGTAGGTAGCGCAGGCTTGGGCGAATTGGCTTTTGTGCGGCCCCAATACGAGCTCACTCGACTCTCAGGCGGAATGGGCGTGATTGGCGGGTATGGGTACACGCCGAAGGCGCTCCGTCAGCAAGTAAAACCAGCGAAACCAGCGAAACTCAAATTGTGTGCACTTACTAAACTGGGCGATAGATTCGGGCTCTGAAGGCCGACCTGATCGACAAGAACGCGCCGTTTGGCGTGGACTTGTTGGTTCCCCAAGTGGGCGGGAGCGCGCGCAAAACCAATGTAAGCTTTCGGATCCTTGAAAATATTTATCCGTGACGCGCACGGACTTACCTCACGCCAGTCTGATTACACGAAGGGCCAGCTGCCCGAGCTTATTGAGGTGATCATCGAAGAGAAGGCCGCGCTGTTCGTGTGTGCGATAGGCGTTCCCCCGCGGGACGTCGTGGATAAATTGCACCAGGCTGGGATCCCTGTTCGTGAACCGTGCTACCCCCGTATTGTGGTTATTTATTTAATTTGGGCCGCAGATAATGAACATGGTCGGGCACCCGAAGCATGTCAAGAAGGCGCTCGACGCGGGTGTGGATCTTATATGCGCGCAGGCGGCAGAGGGGGGTGGGCATACCGGCACCACCGCAGCGAGTATCCTCATCCCCGCCTGTGTCGACGCTGTCAAGGGGCGCAAGTCGCCTCTCACCGGCAAACCTGTCTACGTCGTTGGGGCAGGAGCCATTTACGACGGGCGGGGGTTGGCTGCGAACCTCATGTGGGGTGCCCAGGCTGTCTGTAAGCCAGGTCCTCCACTAAAGTGCGAAAACTAACACATCTACCCATTTCAGGGGTCGGGACTCGCTTCTTAGCCTCCGTCGAAGCGAGCGCACCGAAGGTGCACAAAGACCATGTTCTTAGCGCGGGGTTCGACGACGCGGTCACGACGCTGATTTTTAGCGGGCGGCCGATGCGGGTAGCACGCACGCCTTACATCGATGACTGGTTTGCACCATTCAAGCCACTTTGGATCATGGCCCGGTATTTATTGAAAATATATATATAGGAACAACAATCGGGAGGCTGAAATCAAGGAACTTGTATCCAAGGGTATTCTCCCGCACCAGCACGAACTCGAAAAGCACCCCGAGAAAATGGTAGAGGGAGGGCGATGGCCTATGGGAAGCGTCGCTGCTGTACGTACTTATAAGGTTCCCGTTATGAAAGCGTACTCATGCGTACATACAATGCGTAGCTCATCAGCGAGGTGTTGCCCGCAAAGGTAGGCCTGCGATTAACTGGGATGCAATTGGGTTTGCTTACCAGCTATCCCAGGTCATTGTCGAGAACATGGTGGAGGAGCAGTGAGAATGTTAAATCACGGAGGGTCCCTCGTCAAGCGAGCGAAGCTTTGATTATCTTATCTCTCAGAATGCAGCATCGTAACACCCTTTTAAAGCCCATTATGACCATCACCGTCAGAGTGGAGTCTTTTTGTTGCGAGATTCCGATGATCTGCAAGCAGATGGGGATTGTACAGGATCGTACGATCACCGTGGAGCCGAGTTAATAATGGAAATCGTTGAATCGGATTGTCAGAGTGGAGTACTTTCCCCAGGTGGCGGTGCTCGAAGAAAAACAAACAACCGCTAGCATCTCAAACAGGAAATTTCTCTCGATCGCATACTGACGAGAGGACTTCGGGAATCTCAGGAATAAATTCGGGCCCCATGACTTATATTGTTTTCAGGAGACAGAAACAGATTATCAGCGATTTGCAATCTCGGAATTCGAACTCCTAGTCTCTGTGTCGTTCAGGTTCTTATGTCATCATGGCGCGATGGCCGAGTGGTTAAGGCGACAGATTAGAATTTGAAAATTTCTTCCAGTCATCTGTTCCGGTTTCCGGGCGCAGGTTCAAATCCTGCTCGCGTCGTTATTTTGCTTTTCTCCTTTTTGCCTGTTTTTATTATTATCCGCACCAGCGATATCGATGGAGCGATGGGCGTAAACTTTTATCTGCGCGACGTTCACTCAAGTACTACGTACTTCTTGACTGAATTTCTTTCACGAATTTGCTTGAAATACTCAAATTGAAACAAACGACACAGTAATAGCCCCCAAGGTATGTACTCAAGTATGTATGTACACAATTACAAAATTGAAAATTATTTTACATGATCATGATCGAGAAAAGAAAGCAAAGCGACCGGTCATGTTTGCGTATTCACAAAGAACGATTATAGCTTGGCGCACCCATCTTGTCCCGAATTGTTTTGCCGTGGAACATGAAATAGATGACGGGCAGCAAAGTGACGATGCCTACGAGGGACATGGTCACGGCCATCCACTGGTAACCGATCTTGTCACCAAGAGGACTACAAATTTGAATATCAGTACGCTGTTCGCAACGAGGAGGCAGGTGACTCACATCGCCCAGAAGCCAGCTACGTAAGGGACAAAAGCAAAGCGGTCAGCACACGGCATGAGCTCAGGAGAGACTGGACGCACTGGTCATTCCAACGGTTTGACGGCCAAAGTTCAGGACTTGGGCAATTTCGGGGGTCTGAGGCTTATAACAGTCGGCGTTGTACGAGTATACCACCGTCGAGATAATCCTAAAGCGTGGTGAGGCGGGAAAGAAAGAAAGAGAAGATTGCGTACTGGATGGCAAAGCACATGATGCCGAAGCCCATCGTGGGTCCAATGTACGGGGCTGCACGAATATCAGACACGAGGTCTGAATAAATATCTTTGAAACTCACTTTTGTATTGAATGCAGAAACCCCATATGAGCAATCCAATCTAAATAACGATTAGTTTGCTATGCAGCAAAGGCACTTGTGCCGCTTACGGGTTGAAGGATGGCTCCCGCCCAGATGCCTTGCAGTCTGTGCGGCTGTAAGTCGGAGTACCGATCAGGTACGAACAGCCCACATACCGGACTTCAGGAACAATTTCACCGTCTTTTTTACCCTTGCGACTGAGATACATGGAGCGGTCGACGACGATTCCTCCGAGTAGCTCGCCCAGTGTGGATCCAACGAGAGTACCAACACCGAGAGCGAGACCGGTCTCTGAAGCATTGAATTTGTAAAGCCGACGGAAGAGGGTCGCAGATGTAACAGCCGGAAGAATGGAGCTCAGAGTAAAGGTTACGGAATAATAGAAAGCAGTCAGAAGGACGGTCGGGTACTTGAACCTGGAAGCCCGTTAGCTAGAAGGATTGTAATGGTATCACAAGAGACGAACATGATGAATTGACGGAAGAAATCGGAGGTCTTGAGGTGTTTACCTTCGGGGCGAAGACCCCAAAGCTTCATTCTCCGAAGGATTGGCTTGTCCGTAACGACGGGCGTGGATCCACGAAGATACAACGTCTCCGGCAGGCAGAAGAACATGACGACAAACATAGTGAAGTCGAGGATCGCAGGCAGATAGTAACACCATCTGGGCAAATTAATTTGAGAGACATCGCAATACAAACCCGCTTACCTGTAGCTGACGAACTGGCCCAAAAAACCACCTATCGCGGCGGTCAGAATATATCTAGGGAGGCCAAAATAATAATTCTTACCTGGGATCGGTGCAATGTGGGCCGAGTTTGTTAGGAAAACAGTGAAGATGCCCATAGCACGACCTCTGTAAACGGCTCATGAGGTCTTGGGTCTCGACGAGAGGAAAGTCAAGTTCGAATTACCTCTCGTGAAGGAAGAAGCAGTCAGAAACCATGCCGGCGCCGAGGGTGAAAAAAGACGAAGTTCCAAGCCCGTTTAAAACCTGATATGTACGTCAAGGTGGGTAAGGTCAAGGTTTCTGTGAAGCTTACCCGGGTTGCAATCAACTGCGACCATGTAAGGGCTTTACCAGAACCAAGCGATGAGGCAGCCGCGATGAGGATAGTGAAGAGAAGGACTGGGCGACGACCATAGGTATTTGCAAGTGGTACCCAAACGAAGGAGCCGATGCCAGCGAAAGCTACCGCGTTGAGTTAAGTTACGCCGCGCAAATCTAAAAGATCAGACGTTACCTATCGCGATTGTGGTCTGATAACTGTGGAAAGATGAAAAGTCTGAATATGCTTTAGATGTGACACCCACCTGGCCACAACGGTCGATACATGGAAGTGGGCCGCAAGAGGCACAAAAGCTGCCGACAATCCATTCAGCCGGAAACTTCAAGAGGTGTAAGGTCCCTACCAGGATTAATCGTCGCTTGATTCAAGGGCCCGAGAAGGGCAAGAAAACTGACTTGAAGCAACACTGCAACCTTTCCATGGTGTGAACCATTGTAAGGAGATATAAAATAGAGCGAAAACTACCTTTAGCCACTGAGGGAAATTCAAAGGATCGGACGCATCGTCTGAGGGCTGGGGAATGAGAGGAAGGCCAGTCTTGTCGAGCTTCAAGCTCTGCCCGGACTTGCCGAAGCCGACATGCACGCTTTCTATAAGATTGGGTTAGAAAAGCGCAAAGAAACGCAAATGAAACCCTACGCGACTCGGGATCTCCGACCGAAGAGACGACGACTTTTTCATCCTGTCCCGAGGATTTATCGTCGATTATGTCTATCTTGTCGGATGACATTGCTCAAGTGTTTTCTGGCGCAGAGAACACAAGAAAAGAAAGAGAGGGGACACAAATCTAAAAAGGGCAGTTGGGCCTTCTTCAATGAGAGCCGACAGCTCCCGAGCTGTTGCCAAGTGCGGATGCGTCGTGCGAATATGCAGCTTGAAAAACAAATTGAATACTTCGGTAAGGGTGCTTCGAGCTGTATTGGTCCCCAGGGGTTCGTTGGAACCGGCCTGGTAACGGGAAACGTTTCATTCGAGAGCTAATTTATAAGCCAAAGTATTCAACTAATGGGCCAGGCTGACGGTCGACTTAGTTTTCCATGTAGGTTCCTGCCGCGAAGGTTCGATGCGCATATGCCGAGGATCGCAGTTGGTAGATTGAGAAGAAGGTCAGATGGTGGGAGTGTTCGGATGCGGTAGACTACCCCCGGTAGTCTCCGGTAGGCTGATCACAAATTCCGATCAGATCTAAGTAAGCCCAGATCCATTTCTCTCTCCCACCACCATGGCGCCCCTGCAACTTTCACTCGCGTGCTGGGATTACGATCGCGTCAAGGCACTCGAAGATGGACGCGTCAAACCAGAGGGAATAGAATTGAATTTTCTGAACCTGCGGTAAGTTCGAGAACCTGTGATCTTTTGGTTGCTCAATGTGCTCTCATAGAGTTGAAGAGACGTGAGCCTACTCTAGAATTCTTTTTCGCCGTGCTTCAATATAGCTTCAATGTGCTTCAGCTTCTTTCGACAACTTCGCTATCAGGAATTCGATATCAGTGAGCTGTCTCTCTCCTCATATGTTGTAAGCGTCGGATAAATCATCTCACGCGCTTAGTTCTGCTTATTATTTCTGATGCAGCTCACGTTGAACAGCGAAGACCCTCCATTCTTCGCTCTTCCGGTTTTTCCTTCTCGATTTTTCCGCCATCAATCGATTTATGTGAACACAAAAGCGGGGATAACTCATCCTTCTCAGCTTTCTGGTCGTCGTGTAGGCACACCAGAGTTTCAAATGACTGCACCCGTCTGGCAGCGTGGAATTCTTGAAGACGAATATGGACTCAAGTACGACGCACCGCACTACTTTACCGGCAATGTAGAGCCTAGTGATGTGGAACGGAAAGAGAAAGTTCCCCTGAAATTACGGGAAACCGTAAATATTCAGCCTATCCCAAAGGGTAAATGTCTGGCCCATATGCTTGCGGATGGGGAAATAGACGCGTTAGAAAGCGCGTCAGTGGATTCTTTTCCGGTTCCGAGATGAAACCGACTTACAGAATACGGCTTCTGTTTTTAGCACAGCACCTTCTACCTTTGGAAAGCACCCAGATGTTGGACGTCTTTTCCCTGACGCGATGGCGGTTGAACAAGGTAAGTCGGTGTCATCTCACACTTTGTAATATTCAACTTTGTAATATTCAACCTCTTCCCTAATAGATTATTTCAAGCGCACGGGAATATTCCCCATTATGGTCGGCTCAGTTTCAGCTGCTTTGCCGCAATAACCAGCGTTTGCAGCATGTCATTGTGGTGAAACGATCTGTCTTGAAGGACAATCCGTGGGTGGCCCGCTCGCTAACAAAAGCGTTTGCCGCTGCTCTCGAGTACGCTTACTCGGCTATCCATGAACGTGGTGCCCTGAGGTCGGCGGCCTTGATTGAAGTTTTCCCCCCCTCTGATTCCAATAAATCCAGGTATATCTTGCCCTGGTTGCAATTCCATGTTGAAGAGACACAAGCTGTCATGTGTAACAACGGTGAAGATAAATGGTGGCAGGACGGTCTGACTGCCCAGAATCGTCGTACTCTTGATAAATTTCTCGAGTACTCGTTCAACCAGGTCGACACGCTGTTCATTTTTCAACATTATACTCCGTCAACTCATCGCTATATTTCAGGGTCTTGCCAAAAAGAAATGGCAGGTCGACGAGTTGTTTGCACCCGGCGCCATCGAAGGATTTGTTGTTTGACCGCTGTAACCCGGAGCCGCCCGTTTAGTGTCCGTTCTAGTCTGTTCTAGTTGGCTTCTGATCTACACTCAAGGAACAATCAATATAAAAAAATATCTATATCAAAGCCCTCTCGCTCATTCGATAAGGTAGAAATGCTATGAGCTCTCTTAGAGGCAATTCAATCCGTTCGTATTTCAAATCTTGAGGTGGTTACAAGTTTAGTTGAGATGGTACGTTGCTGCCGAACACTTTCAAACTACAAGACAAGCGATCGGAGATCCGCCCAGATCCATCAATTTTTCTTCGACCAGCCTCGCCCTCGGTTATTGACGGAGATCAGTCAACCCTGAAATCCACCATACATACGTCGAATCATACAGAACCCCTACTCAACTCATACATCGAAAATTGAACT